GTCATTTTATGTTTGAACATTATATTCTTTTGTGTTAGGATTACCTAAATTATATTCCGTTTAATAATTTCTTCAACGAGTTTATGTTGATATTGTCTGATTGGCTGAAGGAAAAAAGGAAGTGTTTGAGTAGCCGGAAGGAGATGTGCTCTCGTTCGTTTGTTCGGAGGCGCAGACGTTGGAAAAATAAAAGCTAAGTTCAAACGAAGTCCATCTCTCCTTTTGCCCATTGTTAAAGTAGAGCCATCCATTCAAAAACTACGAACCCCTCAACTTACAATATTATTGGTGTTATTATTTCACTTTCGAGTATAAAGACTTAAAAATATAATTACCATTTTTAAACTATGATGGTCAGTCGTAACAAGAACTAAACACAACAAGGAAAATCTTCTTGCTGAACTTTTTTGACTACGTTTTAAGATGCAATGTATGCACATTGGAAGCATAAGACAATATCATCAAACTTGTTGTCTTTGTAGCGTGGTTGCTTTATTGATGTATTATTTTAATATGTCTTAATATCTTTTTACCGATTGTGATTTTCCCCGAGTCAGGTTTGAAACGCAAAGAAACACTTCTTTCTTCATCGACACTTCCTGTGATGGTCTTTCAAATTTCATCCCAGCAGTATTTTATTTTAGAAAAGCTAGAGGGTTTCATTTAAAAATGTGCTCATTTGGATAATGTAAATAAAGTGTAACGTAGTAGTCTGACATAGATGGTGAGCACCATTTGTTATTGTATATACAGTAGATATTGTTCAATAACGCTCTGTGAAAAACGAACTACAGCTGAGACTTCAAGAAAATGTGGATTAAATGCTAATCAAAAATATTGTATAATAGACTGATCAAAATACAATCTATATGAAGTATTGATGAATAACTGTTTCTTAAACTGAAAAATGTGTGTGTTGAATTTCATCCATTTTCCGATCCGCTTCATCCTCACAGGAGTCATGGGGGTGTGCTGGAGCTTATCCCAGCTGTCTTCAGGCAGTAGGCGGGGGACATCCTGAACTGATTGCCAGCCAATCGCAGGGCACACATAAATGAACAACCATTTGCACTCACAATCATACCTTTACGGACATAATGTCCAATTAACCGACCACGCATGTTTATGGAATATGGGAGGAAACCGGAGTACCCGGAGATTACCCACACTGGCACGGGGAGAACATACAAATGCCACTCAGGAAGGCCAGATTCTAACCGACAACCTCTGTACTGTGAGGTGGGTGTGCTAGCCAATTGACCTGTGTGTTGAATGTCCTCAATTTTATAAGGGGGCTGCATAAAAGAGAATCATCTGGATCTTGATCCTTTTTTTTTTTAAGTATGAAGATGTATACTTAAAAAAATTTGAATCCAGATGATTTTAATTTGTCCTTGATGGTATAGTGGTCCTCTCGCCTGACTTGCGTGCGGGCAGCTTGGGATCGGTTCCCACTCAGTGGCGCTGTGGATGTGGGTGTGAAGGGTCATTCATCTCTCTCTGTGCTTTGCGACTGACGGGCGACCAGTTGAGGGTGTCGTCTGCCCTCCACCTGAAGATAGCTAGTAAGTCTGCAGCATCTGCCTTTTCAGGATAAGAGGTGTTGAAAATGGATGGATGGATGGACGATTTTACTTTGTGCAACCATTTGACAATATAAAATGGAATAAATTCAAAACACCATTTTTTTCAGGGTATCAGAGTTTATCTCGAAAATATCCAGTTTGAAAACTGCCTCTCTAACATGTGACCTGCACTGCATTATTGATTGACTTTCTCGGCCAGTGAGACATTATGAACTTGTGCAATGTGAAACCCCTCATCTAATTTAAACATTTATATTGCTTATCTTTCAGCCTAATCACGAGGTATTTTTTTTTTCAAAGTACACCATTCAAATTGAGCGCAATTCATGTCTTATTGAATAAAAAAAGCAAGCAAGGACAGACATAATTGACATGTCTCAAAGTGTGCTCTTCATCACCTTGTGGAATCATGAATAATAATGAGAAATATCAAAACAAGTCAATATTTCTCTAACTTTTGTGTGACTGAAAAAGATTGAAATAATACTTCAGGCTTCTTTCCAGACTCGTTAACGGGGACATTAATTTACTTCATTCGAGAAAACAAATATGGCCCATTTGTCGCGGAAGCCGAAGAGGATACATTTCTGCCGCAAAATCTGTTTTAAGGTCATTCGTACAATCTAGTTTTCATGGAGTGCTCGATTCCCACAATGAAATGATCGACGTAATTGAACCCCAAAACACACTATCCCCTATTTTTGATGTACCACAAAGTAAAACATCTGTTATTTGCACACAAGAACATTGTGTTTTACTCACAAATAACCCACATTTGCATTTTTTTCCATAGGGTGCATAAAAAAAAATAAAAAAAAACTGAAAATATCCTAAATCTTAAAAAACGTGTAATATGGATACCAAGCATCAAAAAAAGTTGAGAAAACCAAACTTTATTGATGGTTATTGACAAGTGGAAGAACCATAGTACATGCACATACAATGACAGTGCAGGAAGCCTCAGTTTGAACCACAACACCTACTGGAAGCAGCACTTGGATAAAGTAGTTACAGAATCAGACATTCAGCAGAGTGAAGACCTTTCGAGTCATCCCGCCTCCGAGCATATTATACGTCGTCATTCGGAACGTACAGATTTGAACCAGCAGCACCAAACCGCCCTGATGATTTTTACACCGCCTTGAATGCGGCGCATCCGCGGGTTCTGATTTGTGAGAAGATATAAAAGGGAAGATATGTGTGGAACAACAGCACTAATTGGGAACGTTTGTAAACAGCACGTGGTGGAAGGAGTGGCTTGTAGACCGGCTCGCAATACAGCTGCGGCTAAGCTCCCTTTTCCCCAAGTAGCGTCGTTCATAGACACTATAGATTGATTCCGTGGACGTCTATGAACATCATTAATGAGCTTGTTAACAAATGATTTACTTTTTCATATGGATATCATTGTATATTCTTTTCCCAAAGAGTAAAGACTGATAGTCTAGAAAAGTAAGCTAGGTCACGCTAAGTATAACTTAAGAGCAAAATCAACTGAATTAAAAACAGAAAAAAGAGAAAAAAATGTACACCTACAGCACTGATATGTCTCAGATTTATGTGGAAATTACAAGTTACGTGTGCAAAATGGTACATTTGACAGCATAAACAAATGCGCATACATATCGTATAACTACAATGTATTTATTTGTAAAGACTTGCTAGAAATCGGAACGTGACTTGATAGAAAAGGAGCTAGCTTGTCCTAGCAACCGATCTAATAGCCTAAATCTAAAACATTATACCATTATGTATTTCATATAAGATAACATCTTCACTGCACAGTTCAAATATCATATGTTGTTTGGGTATTATATCTTATCCTCCATAAGTTTGTAATTACTGGACGAAAAAAAAGCAAATGAACATTTTTCAAAGATGATAAAATACATTGCAATATATATTTAAACATTTTCCAGCAATATAAAAATGATCAGTTATACCAATGAATTTATTGGAAGTTCCTATAAAAAAATTTAAAAAAAATTAAAAAAACAAAAAATAATATAAACATCTACACCCCAATAACCTTCGCTACTCAGGACAAAAAAGGATTAGTGCAGCACATGGCTCAATGAATCTGAAGGATTGTAACTTTCCTCGTCATTCACACTCTTCAGATGAATTATTGATTCAATCATTTTTCCATAGTTTAGCTCACAGAATGATCAACTAATTCATGAACAAATACTTGGGTTGCCATGACGGTCATTTCCTGCTTTCTACTTGACAGAGTTGTGACTAAACGCATGAACACACTGATCTGTCCACGGAAACCTTTGGCTTACTGTGATATCATATTGAACCACATTATTTAGTCAATAAAGCTACAGTCTAAAAATGTGCTGACTCGCCTAATTTTTTTCCCTAGTGACTAACGCTGACGCTAACTATTCTCACATCTATATCGTCTACAGAAGTCGATACTTGCTGGCATTTCTTCTCACTTCCTGTCCACATCCCCATCTAAATTTTGGATTATGACCAAACTACCCCAAATGAACTCAAAAGGTTGTTGAGTCTCTGAAAAAGCTAATTGTTGTATCCCCCCCCCCAAAAAAAAAAAAACTGAAGACAATAAAATAAATTTTAAAAAATGACTACAAATTAACGCAGGAACATTTTACTATGAACATAATCAAACTGCACTGTGAAATGTGAAGTAGAGGTCAGTGGAAAAAAATATTTTTTCCTCAAAACAAATGAGATATGAAAGTCATGATCTTGAGAACGATGGAGGTCAAATAATTAACAATCCGTTGCTTCTCTGGGCTGCTTTTAATTAGCCTATCCTGCCTGCTAATGTTCACAAAAGCTCAATTTGTATGACGATGTTCTCAAGACCTCTTCACATGATCCCAAACTGCATAATAAAACGCACCAGTCAAAATTAGTAAGTGCAAAAGGATGCAGAGAGAAGAAAAAAATAAACATCAACAAGAATAGTCCCTTTAAATACTTTTAAACAAATGACAATGCTATGCAATGAAAAGCTTGAATCTCTAAATTGTTTTAGTACATTTTCTCAAACCTAAGGATACAATTCATTTTCATTGTTTTAGGAAGAAAAACAATTTCAAGATTTGGAGACACATGCTTTTCATTGGCAAATTGTTTAAAAAAAAACAAACTCAATATTTATCTTACAGAGGGGTGTTCTATACAACAATATGTATCAGATAAATATGTCATCCGTGTCCTAAATTTTTACTCTAACATTTACTCTATCGGTACCATGGACACAATTTCTACAGCTGAAAACTATGTTGAAATCTTTCGAAATGAAAACCCCACAATATCAAAATACACGGCACAAAATATCTGAGGTATAAGATGAAAAATATCAGCTATCATTTTCGTCTCATATATTTTTCTCTCTCTCTCTCTCTCTCTCTCTCTCTCTCTCTCTCTCTCTCTCTCTCTCTCTCTCTCAGGAGATGCTGAAATGATGCTTAAATTGCATGTATTGCAATACCCAGGCCTCAGCATTGTCTGTCTTATATTCACACTCCTCTGTTTATGCAAACACACACATGCACACACACGCACACGCTTTCTTCATGTCCAGTTGGAAGGTTGTGTTTCAGTTGGGGAGGTGTAGCTAATAGGGAGCAAAGCGGCTGTAGCCTCCCCGGTATATACTAGCCTGGAGGGAGGACAGCACAAGCCCGACGTCGTCAACATGGCTCCGTGTTTTGGCATCTGTCAGAGGGGTGAATGCATTCTGAAATACACGTGGAGAGAAACACGAGTGTGACACACATATTAAAAACGATCTTGTAAAAACACTGTAAAAAAATGAAAACAGCCCAAACACAAAATAAACACATGCACACCATTGTTAGCCCCCTTTGGTTCAGTACCAACTAGAACTACAGTTCCAACGTGACGTTACCGTTTTTCCTGTGCAAACCCGTCGGAGGGTGAAAAGAGCCATGACCGGTGCAATCGTCATGCAGCAAGCACAGCGAGACACTTCATGCCAGGAGAACATGCCAACAGCTATGTGAAAGAAATCCAGTCAATATACGCTGAACAAATTGGAGGGAAGGATGAATTAAATAAGAAAAAAAAATCAAACAAAAGGGTTACAGTGATCCCTCGCTATTTCGCGGTTCGATTATCGCGGCCTCGGTGCATCACATTTTTTTTCCCAAAGTACTGTATTCAGAAAAAAATGCCTGATGACTCAGAGGTTTTATACATGGCTGGAGCTTGATTGGTTCCCAGCGTGACGTCGACCAATGACGGCACGAGTGGATCTATCCCATGATGCACAGCCATGTTGATTGGCTGTGCATCTTCGCAGCCCTACCCAGCAACCTCCCTTGTGTCTTATCAAGTGGGTTACTCTTTGATCAGTGTCTAATCACGTGGTTGCCTAGATCAGTGTTGTGTTTACTACTCGTGTTAGTGTGTGCGCACGTGTGTGTGTGTGTGTGTGTGTGTGTGTGTGTGTGTGTGTGTGTGTGTGTGTGTGTGTGTGTGTGTGTGTGTGTGTGGGTGTGTGTTTGTGCGCGCATGTGCGTGTGCACCTACTTCGCGGATTTTCGTCTTTCGCGGGTGGTCTCGGTCCCCATTAACCATGATAAGTGAGGGATCACTGTCTACTGTATGTATGACAAGAATTGGAGATGCTAGATTCTGTCTGATAAAAGGTTATTGAGGAGGTTGAGATGGATGCCAAGTAAAATAACACATTTGGTTTGTTATAAATGTTCAAAGAAAAAAATGTTTCATTCAGCAACAGATAAGTTCAGCGGAACCTGTGCTGAGATATGAAAAAACGGTGGTAAAATTTCAATTGCACTCGGAACGTAGCGAGCCATACTAATGCCTTTCAGACAGATGCCACAGGTTCGGTTCCCGGTGAGGGCTTCAATAACCAACCGCTGCGGATCTCAAGTCAGGGTAAAAAAAAAAAAAATGAGTGGGTTGTTTCGAGAAAGGCATCAGGCGTAAAATCTCCCAAATAAATAATGCGCCTGAATTGCTACGATGATTCCTGCCTGACAAAAGACTTGTGAACAGGTACTCTTTCATCTTTTTTTTTTTTTGCATTTGGTTTGGCTCAAAAATGAATTCATGCTGAAGGAAAATGTGGCACCTGCTGCTTTGGCCAAACAGATGTGAATAAAACACCTTTGGAGGAAATTGATTTTTTTTTTTTTTTTTTTTTTTTGTCTTTGATTGGGAAAGCTATGTCTGGACATAGACTAAATGGACAATCTAGGCTGGACAACGGCATTGTAAAGAAGGAATAACTGAGAATTTCATTTATATTAATTACAGTATTGGTGATAATTTGAACAATTTGTCAATCACAGTCTACCTAAAAAGGTATCAATCAGACAGTACTATGAGAGATCAATAGGAAAACAGCAACACATTATTTCACTTTGGATTCAAATACGAAGATTTGAACAAATGTGTTCAAATCTGAGATGAAAAATGTTCTTCCAAGCGGTTTTACTTATTTAAGTCATCTTTGAATCCATAAGACAAAATCCGCTGTACTGATTGTGTGAACAAAATTAATATATTTTTAAAGAAGTGTTTCATGAATTCACAAAGTTGGATGGATGGATTGATACTTTATACATCCACAATGGAAACTGACTACAGCCTAGACCAGCGATTCCCAACCTTTATTGAGACAAGGCACATAATTTAAGTTCGAAAAGTTGCACAGCACACCACCAAACAAAATCGTCATACAAGGAGGGTACATATATCACTTTTCTCCTTTTTGCCATCGAAGAGAAGATCATTTATTTGTTCTTTGTGTCACTATAAGTTGCTGGCATGGATAGATGGACAACGATACATTGTTTGTAATTAATAAATAATTTTCTCACCAATTAAGTGATATTTTATACTTTCCCGCGACACACCATTTGAGCTCTCATGGCACATTAATGTGCCCCGGCACACGGGTTGGGAATCACTGGCCTAGACTATATGGTGCTGTAATTTTGTTGTTCCTGGCATTTCAATATTTACAAGTGTTAACCTGGCCCTCCCCCTGCCACAAGATTCACAAGTGCAATATTGGTAAGATGCAAAATCATCGAACTGATTGAGACTAGAAGCGCAGAGATTTAGAGTAGATTTTTTTTTTGTTTTAATCATGAAACCTGTCTCGATATGAAGTCATGCTTTTTTGAAATGGACCAATCAATATAAGAAGCAAGTTGTTGGAAACGACACAGCCTTCTGGCTTTTTACATGTTTGCTTATCACTAACAATTTATTGCATCGAACTGACATCTTATAACTTGACACGATTTGATGAACAGACATTAAACTACATTTCAACGATATTTCTCGATATTACTTTGAGAAGGGAATTGTGACCGACGATCACATTTGAACACTCCTCTCGCCATCATTCACTCAGTTCTTTCTCCCCCCATGTCCTCCCTGTGGCTGCAGCGCCACAGGAGATTTAATTATCAAAATGACTAATTATTTCATTACCAAGGAGCGCGGGGTGAGGTGGTATTCACCAAATTAGAAATATAATAACTAACATGGACTGGGCTGCCAAAGCATGAGAACATTCATCACCTTTTACAGGCGGGATTAATGTGGCATTTGGACTGCCGTTAGCAGCGCAGACAAATTCAATTAAGTTTAAGTGAGGATAAGTCAGCGCTGCAGAAAAGCTCGTGCACAACGGCGGAGAAGTTGGGCAATGAAAGCGAGCCCAAAGCAAGTCTTTGAAGATCAGGACACAAAATCACATAAAGTGATATGCATAAAGGTTTTGGATGATGAAGCCAATCTGGGTATCTCGCAAAGACATCCAAAGTAAATGCACAATGCAGTGTGAAAGTGATGATTGTATTTATTAAAGGCAACATAGTAACTGTCTACTCCAGACATGATTACCGCCAGATTAGTTGAATCAAGAAACCTAGTGTAAGTTGAGGGGTGTGTTGTTTTTGAATGGATGGCTCTACTTTACAAAACGGCAAAAGGAGAGATGCATTCCGTTTGAACACAGCTTTATTCAAAAGGACGTCTACACCACAATATGATCGAAAAACACACTCTCCTTGGCAACGAAATCATTTCCTGCTTTCCTTTTCTTCAACAGTTATCAACATAAAAACATCCATCCATCCATTTTCTGATCCTCTTTATCTTCACAAGGGTTTGAAGCCTATCCCAGCTGTCTTCAGGCAGTAGGCGGGGGACACCCTCAACCGGTTGTCAGCCAATCGCAGGGCATACAGACGAACAACCATCCATGCTCACACTCACACCTAGGGACAATTTGGAGTGTTCAATCAGCCATGCATGTTTTTGGAATGTGGGAGGAAACCCGAGTACCCGGAGAAAACCCACGCAAGCATGGGGAGAACATGCAAACTCCACACAGGAAGGCCGGAACTGGGATCGAACCCACGACCTCTGCACTGTGAGGTCGATGCACTATTCACTTGTCCACCAGGCCGCCCACATCAAAACATGTCTAAGCAATCATTGAACAACAGAATGTAGTTTAGGTATTCTTAACATGAAATAATATGATGCTCAAACATAAAATGATTATAATAAATAATATAACCTAATCTTACACTAGTACCTAGCAGACTAGGCTGCAAGATCTCAAAAGAAATGGAGCATTCCATGATCCAAAGATATTGGTGATCAAATGAGAAAAAAAAAAAAGGAAATCCATCACTCTGAAAAAGGTTACAAAGACCTTTCTGAGGCTTTGGGAGGCTCTGCAAACCACGGTCAGAGTCATTAGCCGCAAAAGGAGAAAACCGGGAGCAGTGTTGAGTGAGTGAGGAGTAGCCGGCCAGCCAAATTACTCCACCAACATCTTATCCAGGAGTTCACAAACCCAGAACAATATCCAAAGGACCCACTGGCCTCAGTTAATGTGAGTGTTCATGACTCAACCATAAGAAAGACACTCCCCAAAAATGGCCTCTATGGGCGAGTTTCAATCTGAAAACAACAAAAAAAGAAAAGCTGAGCTCACATTTGCCCCGCAAGAAAGCATCTTTATAACCCCCAAGAAATGTTCTGTGGTCTGATGAGCGAAAAGGTTTGCGGGGTAAAAATAACAGCGTTTGACAAAAAGAACAGCTCGTGCTCTCAAGATTAACCTCTCTTGAGATGTGTAGCAGGACAAAGACCCGAAACTTATCAGCAAGTGCACCTCTGAATGGACACCACAAAAAAATAAAGGTTTTGGAATGGTCTAGTCAGAGTTAGAATGTAAATCCAACCGAGATGCTTAGGTCTGTCCTGAATTGGCCAATTGAATGTCTTCTTTGTAAAACATGTTGGGCATATTATGGTGCAGGTAAAGTACTATATATCGTCAGTCTTCTCCAGTTACTATTTAAGGGAAATTGTATTTTTTTTTCCAAGAAATATGTATTCTCCTACTGTAAATACGTCATTCGAAGTCGTTTGGTGACATCGGCATAATTAAAGAATCAGGATTTTCGAGTTTTGGACTTCAGAAGTGTGCATGACTTTTTTATTTCATTTAAGCTTTTCTCAGGACTTATTGTAATTAAAGACATGTCATAATTTGAACTTCAGGTAAAGTCCTCCCAAAAAAATGCAAGTTGATTGTCTCTCATTATCCGCTGTGAAGGAGATACTTCTTCCAACCATCCATCCATTTTCTCATCCGCTTATCCTCACAAGGGTCATGGGCGTGCTGGAGCCAATCCCAGCTGTCTTCGGGCACTAGGTGGGGGACACACTGAACCGGTTGCCAGCCAATCACAGGGCACACAAAGACAACCATCCATTCGCTCTCACACTCCCACCTCTGGACAATTCAGAGTAAATATTTAACCTACGTTGGATGTTTTTGGATTGTGGGAGGAAACTGGAGAAACCCAGAGAACACCCACACAGACAGGGGAAGAGAGAGTCTTCTTTGAAACAAATACAAATAAAAAAATAACTGATCCAGTTATACCAAGTGTGCAGCTTCCACAAAGTACACTGGTAAATGAATGGACTCTAAGCATGGATGCAATTATGATGATGAGCTCATTGTAATTTACAATTTGGATCTAAAATCTCAAACGGCCTAAAGAATTATCAGCATGATTTTGCCATTTCCCTCATCAGTGAGACAAAATGTGATAATTGGTCATTTAGCCTGCATTATTCCCACTTCACTCCTGCCTGCACCTACTGCCATGATGAACAATGAAAACACAATTAAAGCAAGTGACATGCAAAAGGGGAGCTGAATTCAATATTGCATTTTTTTTTTGAGGGGTGGAGGGGATCATAACCTTGAATGTCGTATTGTAATACAGATGAGATAGGATATGAGGAAGGAATGGGGAAAGGGATAAAGCTGTGACAGGCATGGCAGTCTTACCATGGCACCAACGCTGTATGTGGCTGCTGGAGTGAGTGTGTGGTTGTAGGGATCGGCAGCATATACTCGTCCATAACTACAGAGATAGCAGAGAAAACAGAACATATGTTTTTGATTACATCAATATCCACATACAAAACCTATCCAATAACACAAACATTTAGAGTTGTGGAACCTCGAGAGGTGTGGAACATCCCTTGGGTAGATGGTGAATTGAACCACTCAAGGAATTAATAAACAGTACACTCGAATTATTAAGGAAGAAGAAAAAAGACATAAATGAAAATACATTAACAATTTGAAGAATAATACAAAACAACCATCCAATAACAAAGTAATAGCATTCATGTTTTTTTGTTTTTTTTTCTGTACTGGTAAAAAAATCGCCCAAACACTTTTTTTTCACGTCAAATTTAATTAGCTACACTATGTGTGTTATTTGTTCAATTTTAAGATCTCTTCAAAAATAGCTTGCCTTTATCAAGCAGCGTAAGTTACGTGAACTTCCGCCCACGCACATTCAGCCAATGATTGTTGCAACCCGCAGGCAGAGCCGTGTTGTTTGAACAAACACTGAAAATGCCGCTGTTGTTGACACGCGCACAAAACTTTTTATTGGATACGAGATATCGTGCGGTCATACCAAATGCGGTTTGAGCTATTGTCACAACGCACTGAATAAGTCAAGACACTTTGCAATGACAGGGCCAAATCTGTACATCGACACCGGAGCCAATTGGCTCCGAGAATGTGCTTGCTACGTTTCATACACGGCACATACACACCAGGTAAAAAGTGGACAAACAGCGGAGAAGAAAATATTCATTGCAGTCTGAGGGGGGACCTGTACAAAACAAACAGCTTCCAACACGAGCAAAAAGGGTGCAGGTGTAGACTACTTGCTGTAGCTGGTAAGGAAGTGTACGGACTTGTTTATAAACTGTTGACTGACCCCAAATTGTGAATGACTTCCTCTCAATTGGACCGTCCACATTCATTCTCAAGTTGGAGCTGCTGAACGGATTTTTCAAAGAGGTATGCCTATTTTATTTTTCATGACGTGATGTATCTTATCAGTCTGAACGTCTTTGGGCTAAACACTTTCTCTCTGGTCTTCGTTTAACCACCAGCTACCTTTATGTTTGTGCTTTACAGTTCCCCGACTTACATCGGGATCCAACAGCCAACGGACATTAACTGGCTGTGTCTTAAAGCAAACCTCAAAAGAAAAGACTGTCTCAATGTCTCTGTTGGGACATTATATTATTTTTGAAAGAAGAAGACAAAGCTAAACACAGACTGAAGAACAGATAAAACGCAAAATGTGCTAAAACAGCAAAGAGTTGCGTGTTGGCCACCACTTGACTCATGTTTTTGCCCACCAGTGTTGCTGGTAATGCATTATTAGCCCCTTCATGCACCCTGTAACATGATAACATGATAAGCTGTCCACTGTAGTAACCGCTGTCCCTGAAAGGGTTATGTCACACCTTACTCCAACTGTGCATATTTTTAAGGAACGACTAATCTAACTACTTTTTCCAGTCGGGTAATCAGACTACAGTTACTCTACTAATATCACCAAATGTTACATTGTATTTTGCGATAAGTTCCACTCGGTGGTAACGTCAGTATTTCTAAAAGTGGCACATTTCACTACCATGAGCAGTTGCCATTCAGTGCCTGTGGGGCGCAGCAGTGACAAAGAACTGACAAGACTTGAATGAACAGCACATACAGTACTTGACCACAATGGTGCCTCCCTCACACATGCATAGTAAAATAAAGAGTTAAGCAATAATAGGGGAGGACACATGTTCCTAACACTATAGTACTCATTAAAGTCACTCATCGCCAAGAGCTAGAGCTGGACTGAAACAAGTATCTTTTGTCATGTTTGATATTTTGCTTCTGTCACATGTTCGGGTCAGTATCAGGTTTCTTTCTGTATTTATATACTAATTATTCTTTATTTATAATCATTTGTATTGATATTTTAAATGAATGATAATAATTATTATAATAATAACAATTCTGGATTATATAGAAATAATGATGTATTGCATTGTATTGATCTGAAGAGTAAGAAAAAATAGTTGATTAAGCACCCTAGGTGGTCTGATGAAGATTTTCTGCAACAGAACACCTTCATCTATGTAGCTGCGCTCCTCATGAGGAGTTGCCAATCCGGCAGCATAAAAACACAAACCAGAAAAACCCTTCAGTTTATTGAAAATACTCAACTCTAGTCTACAGAAGACAAACAGTAAATTAAACCAAAATGTTGGCGTATTTAATTGAGTTTATTTAGTCATACGTCATTTGCCGTGTCTGTGCGTGTGCGTCTGAGCCTACACTATTTTATTAATACAAGCTATGCAGCTGCTGTCATCGGTAAAAATAATAATAATGCATTCCTGTGACTTTGTATAGTGTTGTACAACGGGCAGCGTCGAGACCCACAATGAACCTTTTATGTACATGAGGTGGCGTTTTTACATTTGAATTAAAAAGGAAGCCACAAAAGAAAAAAAAAATCTCAAATATTTTTATAGCCTCCCCCAAACTTGGGGATCAAACTCAGAACTTGGCATCAGAAGCGCAGAGCAGTGCGAACATATCTGCCACAGTTGCTGACGTATGCTGTCCACAGTGTTGCTTGTGAAATGAAGAAAGTGTTTTTTTCTTCCCTTATTGAGACAAGTAATGTTGTCAATCCACCTATGTCCTATTGCACCCTGGAAACCACAAATGTTGTATTGCAGTTCCCCAAAAGGAATGTATGAATAACAGTCTCACCATTAATAATCAGACACATGGTCATAATTTTGAGAAAAAGGGAACATGTAAGTCTCAAAATGCCTCTGTTGTCATTAAATGACTTTGAAAGTCTTTGAGACGCTTACATCATGTTCTTGCATTAATTAATTTATGGAGTGTAAGACAAAATAATGGGAAACTCTCTTTGAGGTAGACCCTCGCTTATAAATCTTTCAAGTGACTCATTAATGAGCGACTTATCCTGAGCGTAGCGGTACATGACATGCTGTTAAAAGTTACAATTCTATTTTGTTATCATTTAAAAATTGTCATAATGAGCAATTACCTACTGGGAAACAATTTCGTTTGGATGCAGTACAACTGGGGCAACATGGTGAACCCATCCTAGTCAAATATGTGACTTTTCTGTGTGAAGTCTTCATGTTTTACGTTTCCTACCACAGTATCAACACATGCAGGTTCACTTTGTAGAAAACACGCCACATTGCTCGTGTTTTACAGTGTAAATGGTTGTCAGTGAATACCAGGGGTGTCAAACTTATTTTTGCTGCGGGCCACATTTTAGTTACCGTTTTCCTTGGAGGGCCTTTATGACTGAAACCAGATAAAGAAGTCAAGACAGTTTATTCAACTATTGTTTCAGTTACTGTAATAAGGGGTTTGCTAACAAGAAAATGCGAACAATATATTTCTTATTTATTCCATATGAGAAGTTTAAATTTTGGTCGAGATTTTAGCAAGCATCATGGAAGTTGACATGTTTGATTTGCTCTCGCGGGCCACATAAAATGATGTGGCGGGCCAGATCTGGCCCCCGGGCCTTGACTTTGACCTGTGGTATATACAGTCCCAGTGAGTAATGGGCAATCATTTAAAATATGATAGAATAAGCTCCATAACACATGTGACATTGCACAGGATAAATGGTCAAAAAAAAAAAACCAATAGATGGACAATATATCTCCTTCATTCCTGGAATCTACGAAGTTTGAAAGTTCAAACCGCCAAGTACAATGGAATGCCAGAAAGTGGGTTTGTTATCAAGATTTAGTGATTTGATTTCATGCATTTGATATTTTCTTATTTCAAGAAATAAGTCGATACAAAGTAAAAGTTCACGGCTGTGTTACCAATCATTGAGGGACGCTGGATGCCTTTTCCATATATTTATAAACAGAAATGCAGAGCAGCTTTTGCTTTCTCTATTAGGCGGAGTTTTTCGTTGATAATAAATATTATTTTTGAGACAGAGTCCTTTGTCAGTGTCTGCTATTTCGGGGATCCACTTATTCTCACCTTTTTCTGTTACGCACAAAACGGTTTTTTTCCTGCTTCGTGCGTAACGTGACAGTAATGGGCAATCATTTAAAATATGATAGAATAAGCTCCATCACACATGTGACATTGCACAGGATAAATGGTCAAAAAAAAAAAACTGCGCCTGAAATAGGCAGCTTTTTCACAGCCTCGCTTTGTTCAGCGAAAAGGCCGGTGCTGATGGACAGTCTGCAGCTGGATGGATGCATGGCTTGAGGAGCCGACGATGAGAAGAAAGGAGCGTCAGCGCAGAGCGGCGATGCGTATGTGGAACTCGGAGTCGTGGCTTGGAATTGAAGCGGATTTACATGGGACAGGAGAAGAGGGCCAATGTCTTTTTCGTTAATGGATGCTACAGCTTCTTGTTGCTTTCAAGCTTAGCTTGTAGCAGACGTGTGCACATTGCAGCATGACGTCTTTGATCCACTGCTGAAAAGGACACTTTCATTCGCTCCTCTTTCATCTATAACTGCTTCAGACAACAAAGTGTATGCAGGAAAGTGGTTAAGATTGCACGATTGTTT